CCAAAAGTGCCACCTTTCGTAGCCTTTCACAAGACACAAGGGCCTTGTAAGTTGCCAGACCTTCGCCTCAAGCGACCGCATTTTTGAGCCAAATGGCCTAGCGCTTGACCGCCTATGTTTGGTTGCAGCTATGTAAACAGGGTAAACCCCATTTACTAGCTCACTTCCTGAGTGAAGTGGATTGGTTAGAAAAAGCCCAGACTTTGTGTTGACAGCAAAAACAAGCACTGCGGAAGTGAGGAAGGTTTATAACCATTCGGCGGCCATCCGAATTTCGTGCGCCTTCACGACTTCCCGAGGTACTCGTGCCGCAGACGGGTTGCAGGCAGTCTGGTGCCTCAGCGACGCCCGAAGTCAACAGTCCTCGCCAGGGCCCTGGCGAATGCTTTTATTCTCGGCAAATCTATGCACTGCTGAGGGGTTCAAGAGCAGCCCCAAACCGGAAGAGCATCTTGACCATGGCACATGGCCGGCGCAAGGGGGCAACTCAAAAATAGCAGTTGAAGAAGTCTTCAGCCAGCCGGACCCAGCCGATCAGCATGAGCAGAAACCGACATGCAAACAAAAATCGTTTATAATGATTGACGTTGAGCATCATGTTACCCAAGACAAGGTACACCAAAACTACATTTTTGCTAAAACCGCATGTGTGTGTGTGTGTGTGTCTGTGTTTGTCTGGTAGTGTGTTTGCGTGTTGCCGTGTGTGTGTGTGTGTGTGTGTGTGTGTGTGTGTGTGTGTGTGTGTGTGTGTGTGTGTGTGTGTGTGTGTGTGTGTGTGTGTGTGTTCGTGCGTGTGTGCCAGCGCGTGCGTGTGTCAGCGCGCACGCGCGTGTGTGGGTGCGTGCGTGCGTGCGTGCGTGCGTGCGTGCGTGCGTGCGTGCGTGGGTGGGTGGGTGGGTGGGTGGGTGTCTGTGTCTGTGTCTGTGTCTGTGTCTGTGTCTGTGTCTGTGTCTGTGTCTGTGTCTGTGTCTGTGTCTGTGTCTGTGTCTGTGTGTCTGTGTCTGTGTCTGTGTCTGTGTCTGTGTCTGTGTCTGTGTCTGTGTCTGTGTCTGTGTCTGTGTCTGTGTCTGTGTCTGTCTGTCTGTGTCTGTGTCTGTGTCTGTGTCTGTGTCTGTGTCTGTGTCTGTGTCTGTGTCTGTGTCTGTGTCTGTGTCTGTGTCTGTGTCTGTGTCTGTGTCTGTGTCTGTGTCTGTGTCTGTGTCTGTGTCTGTGTCTGTGTCTGTGTCTGTCTGTGTCTGTGTCTGTGTCTGTGTCTGTGTCTGTGTCTGTGTCTGTGTCTGTGTCTGTGTCTGTGTCTGTGTCTGTGTCTGTGTGTCTGTGTCTGTGTCTGTGTCTGTGTCTGTGTCTGTGTCTGTGTCTGTGTCTGTGTCTGTGTCTGTGTCTGTGTCTGTGTCTGTGTCTGTGTCTGTGTCTGTGTCTGTGTGTGTGTGTGTGTGTGTGTTTGTGTTTGTGTGGTGTTGGTGTTGGTGTTGGTGTTGGTGTTGGTGTTGGTGTTGGTGTTGGTGTTGGCGGGTGTGTGTGTGTGTGTGCGTGAGTACTCTGCTCCGGCTGGGTGCTTGATTTTGGCAGGGTCACTGCATTTTCCCTTCAAAAGGATGTCTGCTAAGTTGAAGCAAGCTGCCACATTTGCAGGTTGAAAACAAAAGGACTGTGTGGCGCATCTACATCAGCCTTTGCCCGCCACCAAACATAGTATCTTTGATTCTGCTCCGTATTTACTCAACCTGAAGGCGCAACATAATTTTAAAGTGGTTTGCTCTTGAAGCCCCTTTGACTGCTTGAAAAGGGTACCCTGCGGTACCCTCAAAAGAAGACATCCACATGCCCAAGGCCAACTGTGCCACCCAGCCCGGACTTCCAGTCCAACTGCTGGCACTCGCTGCTGCAGTAGGCCCGCGTCTGCATGACGCACTTGCAACCAGTGACCCCGGTAGAAAAAGACTAACATGGGTGCCACTAGAAAACTGGATACACTAAAATGTACTGGTTGGATCATGAGTTGCTAAGAGCAAAATCCATGTGGTCGGCAGGCATTGGGTATGCTAGAATGGCTTAGGCCTACGTGTGTGAGCGGACCTTAAACAGCCTGTACAGACTTGCAAACCCGACCAATGTTGTGCATGCTTGGCAAAATACCGCGTTCGCTTTGCCAAACAAAACCAGGCAACGTATTCACACCCAAACGTTGTGCGAACCTGCCAGAGTTCAGCGAAGCTCCCTCATGCAGGCTAGGTCGTTGTTCCACATGGATGTTGGCGAAAGCCACCCTGTGTGGCCAATCTTCCCGCAGCGACCCGGGGCCCTGAAACTATAGGCTAGCCTTGCTTCCTCCGGATCCCCTGTCTATTGCGTCTACAATACCTACATGGTCCCTGTGTCTAGTGGTGTGAAAGCGGCCAGTGGGACCTTGATTTCATAAGTTGGCCCACTGCGTTGTGGCCCAACACTTCTTGCCTCCACTGCCCCACACCTAGGCAACCCCCAAGACCATACGTGACAAACAATCTCTGCCAACATTTGCTTCGTATCTGAAACAATTCGCCTGGAATCCAAACTGGTTTTCGCGAGGCCAATCCGGGCCAACTTCCTGCCCTCGCATCCACATTCGCCTTGCAGCGGCTGCACACGGTCCTGTCGATGCAAGCTGGTGGTTGGTCAAAGGAGAGTATTCGCTCCTTCAGCCAGCAGTTCCTCTGCAACGACTGGCATCTTTTTACACCCAACTGTGGTCAGTCATGAGGTTGGCGAGTGAACTGTGCGATCTCTGCATTTGTATCATAAGACTAACCACATGCAAACTACCCCTTTGTCCGACAACCCAGATTCTTCACATTCTCTTCGGGAGTTTCTCAATCGAAGTTGCCAACTTGAGTAGCACAGCATGGGATCTGGCAAGAAACACATCACTCTTTCACGTCAGGTTGCTGCCAATCCATTGGAATGTTGTCTACCGAGACTCAGTCACATGCATTCACATGGCTTCATGTCGGCTCCCTCTCTCACCCTCAAAATCGCCGGATGGTCAGTGAGTTTCATGCTCGGCACCCATATAGCGTTGTTTCACTCTGAGTGACTCTTCTTTTGCGTAATACCTCTGCAATTTCAATAACTCCAAGACCAGAAATCAGCGATCCCCAAGTACGGTCGCCGCCTGGATGCATCTCCACACCAGGCGCAGCGAGGAAGCTCCTGGCGCTCTGCTGACAGCTGGGTCAACATCTTCCCTTGACTACAGTGTCAAAATGGGGGACCCCTCCGAATGGTAGTTGTCCTTGTGGTTTGCCTTTAAATGAACCAAGAACACACAGCCCAATATGAAGCTGGGCACGATTTGCCACAGTCGATGCTTATAAACATGAGATCCTTTAGCGAGGATCAGGCCCTCACTTGTGAACCTCCTCACGATCTCCCGCACAGCATCCAACATGATCCCAGGTTGAAGACGTGCGCGCGGAAGGCTTTGCGGTGATGGACCCAGCTTGGCAGCTTGCCCAGCTTGGGCAAACCCGCCGAAGGGCCAACGGCTGTTGGAAAGAGAAACCACCACAAGTCCCTTGATGCGAGCGAACTATATCATCAACAGTTGGAGAACTGGCGATCTGTGCCACCTACATTCACGCAAACCTTATGACTGCCACAGAAAAAAATATTGACCACCCGGATTCACCACCCTGATTCAATCCACTACAAACCCATAACCAACCACAACCTTGCCCAAGCCCACCTCAAACCCACGGCACAATCACAAACGTGCATGCGCACGTCTGCGTTTGTTCTAGGCGGCTAACCCACAGCCCTCAAGGCAATTGCTTCTTGCCCGGCCCATGCACAGCGGTTGGTACGTCCGCTCACGCGTGGACTTCCAGCGCTTGAAGAACCAATGCGTTTTATGTGCCGGGTCGCTTTCTGTGCAGCCGCATCCCGAAAAACCGAAATGCGAGCACTGCAGTCTGGAGCCCCTTGCAACCTGGGCTTGGCAGCGACTCTAACGGTGTAAAATGCAGCTGTTGACTTCCTCAATGGGTTGTTCCTTTGGTCCTTCCCCCGCCCCCGGTCCTTACATAAGGACACTTGGAAGCGTGGTCATCACAATGTCACAAACAACCCATGCTGATTCTGTTCGGATTTGCGGGCGAATTGGTCAGTTGATTGCAGAGCTTCAAAGGCTCTCCCCGCCTTTGTCTCTTGCGCAGGCTGCAAGGGAATGTCCACACGTCCCATGGCTGCCCGAGTCCCAGTGGATCCCAACTGCGGTTCGTCTCTTTCGGCCTGACTTATTCACAAAGGGGTCTGTCAATTCGTCCAAGGGCACAACTGGACAACAAACATTCCATAAAGGGCTCCCAAAACTTGGTAAGACGTCGGCGCCTGCTTACGATGCAAACCTAGCTTGTTCCTGTTTTACCCTTGAAGAGTGCGAGCATCTCAGTGGGGGAGGCAAGCAGAACAACATGTTGTTCATGGGGCTCACGTGATGAAGCGTGCTGGACGGCTTGCTAGAGAAATGGCTGTTCAAGCACAGAAAATCAATTTCGATTCCATCCCTTGCTCCCTAGAACAATGTGTGGAGGGTCTGGTGCCTCTGGTTGATTTTGTGAGTGTTGCTTTGATTGTCCCGTATTGGGCATTCGACGGTCATTCGACCATGTCTCATGCGACTCGCCGTTGGACAGTTGCAAGTCGCTCACTTTTCAGACCGCACGGCCTGGCACCCTCGGCAAATGACAGGGTCAAGACATTCAAGTAACCTCTTCAAGCTGCATCTTTTCGCCATTGCCAACGGAGTCCCCTCGATTGGTGAAACCCCACAGTGCAGAGAAGCACATTAACGAAGCGCAAAGCAATCCGTTGGCGAATTCTGCCCAACGCTGCATCTAGCAACACACGCCTCAACATGGCCAATAAGCAAGGCTGTTATTTTTCCGACCTGACTGAGCCCAAAAGCAAGAGCTGAGGTTTCTTCAACTTCTCCGCCAACCTCACAAGCTAACAGCAAGCTT